GTGTAATGATTCTTTTTGTCTATGCCTTATGGCTGTTTATGGCAGTTTGAGCTCAAGTTTTATTGTACTAGTTCATTTTCTTCATTTTTTAATTTAGGTCACACGCTTTTCTTGCCGAGGATTCCAGATGTTCTATGCATAAATGCAGCAGGAAGTTTTGACAGAACCTATAACTGACAATTAGCCTGCCGTGCTGAGGATTTGTGGCAGTCAGAGCCGAGGTGCGATACTTCTAGAGCCTGAGATCTGGGACGGGATTCAGTCGGATTACCTGAGGCTTGAATCCAAGTGCAGAAGAGCCAACCTGTTATTAGAAAGCTTTTTTTCTCTGATTTGTTATTTATCACATTCAATTTATCCACAATTTGAATTCTCCATGTGTATCATGGTTCCCCACCTAGCAAAATGGAGGAAAGATGTTAAGTAAAGACCAACTAACCGTAATTTTGAAAGGTTAGGTATAGTATTTTAGCCTGATTATGTTATAGTAAGGATTTTCTGCACAAATGGTGTTTTCGATTTCATTTTAGGAATACCACAGACTGCAGATCCATGGTCACTGTTAGTTTGTGCTTTGGCGGACAGATGGGGAAGCTAGGCTTGAGGTATAGGCCTACGTTGGCGTGAAATAGGCTCGACTTGATATGGCATCTTTGCATGTTTCTAGCACAGCACTTTGATAAATCAACGCTAGGTTTTTGCCATTTATATTAAACGATTTGTTTTAATTAATTAACGATTTGTATGCATAATAAAACAATAATTATGGCGATCAATGATGATTGATATGATGATGATGCATGATTAGGCATGATTATGATGAGGATGATTATGATGATGATCATAATTTGATGATGTTGGTGATGATGATGATGATATAATAATAATAATAATAATAATAATAATATAATAATAATAAAAATAACATCGTCACCCATCTTTCCCTGTGTTGCTGAATGGTATTTTGGAAATATGATTTGTCACAGGACTTCTCTGTAACAGTTACAAAATCTGGAGCGCGTAGAAGCTCTTGCTTTGAGAACTCTTCGATCTTATAGCGAGGAGGTGCGGACGCACTGCATGCCTGGGCAGTCGCGATTTGTGAAGCGGACACGAGCACGGCAATTGAATTGATCAACATGGTGAGTGTCTCGGTCGTGGTACGTGACCAGTAGTGTAGTCGTGCTCATTGTTGTAGCCTGTCAAGAAAGCAATTTTAGGAGTAGTTTACTATGCAGACCGCTCGTATGTGGGAGGTCGGGGCGTTCACTCCCGGCCGGTCATACCAAGAACTTGAAAAATGGTACACCGCTTCTCTGCTTATAGAGAAAATAATCTCAGCAAATAAGAGATTTAGAGTGTGGGCAGTTAACTCGCAGTTGCTACAGTGGACTAACCCTACTGTAGCATTTACTGTGAAAGCAGCTGGGGCCTCTGGGTTACAGAAACGGAAGATAGAGCACCGCCCTATGCGCCTGTAGCTATACGCTATGGTATAAAGGCGCGGGAAGGATTTAACTTACATGCAGTGGTCGCATGTGAATGCAGTCTTATTATTCCATTTGTACTTGTTAGCTACTTGAGAGAGCAGATCTGGTTACCCACCTTGAGTATGATCTCGAAAGGTCCATTCTGACATATTATATATTCTAGACATGTTCGATGGCATCATAATTGCTCAGGAGAAGACGCTGGGTGAACAGGACCAGAACAGACGGAGAAGCGCGCGAGACACACACGAGCAGAGAGAGAGAAGAGAGGGGGGGGGGTGAGAGGAGAGAGAGAGCAGAGAGAGGAGAGAGAGAGAGAGAGAGAAGAGAGTGAGAGAGAGGAGGGTGAGAGAAAGGGAGAGGGAGAGGAAAGAGACAGGGGCCGGAGAGAGGGTGAGATGAAATGTGAGAAAGTGTTATTGTGTCACAAAATTTATATGAGTTCACTTCTACTCACCATGGCGCACTGGAGACTGCTGCAGGAATTATGCTTGGTTATTGCCAAGGAGAAAATATTTTCGCTGATGTAGCTCTAGAGACGCTGTCGGGGAACAACAATGCCTGCAAATACAGTTTAAAGGTGGCACGGAACTATGGCAATCATAGTTTGCATTGCAAAACCGTATTCTTGTTATTAACTAATGGGTTTTGATTTTATGCTTCTGCATCATAGGTAAATGATGAATTCATGCTACGTTAGATGCTTTACATTGTCACTAAACAGGATTGCTTTTAACTGTACTTTGTAATCACTTGTCAGAACAATTTTACTTGAATTTAATGAAGGTTTTGAGATATGGGCCGAGGCAGTGACATTAACGCTTTTGTATATCTGTCACGATACTTTGGCTACACATTTTAGGGGCACTAATGCTTTTACTCACTCTTAGAAAAATCTTACATGAATTAAAGATTTCATTATTAATGGCATGCCAGTGCCAATAATGCTGTGCTAATATCTATCTCTTTTTTTGCTACATTTTTTAGGAGCACTGTCGCTACGGATGTCGTTGCTGGAATGGTTTTCTATGACGCAGGTGGCAGAAAAAAGCAGGCGTAAGGTTGCTGCTGCTTGGCAGAGTTGGATTAACAACCAAGCAGGTCAGCGATCGGGCTGCCCGTTCGTCGTTTATAAACTTGGCAAATTGCAGAGTAAGCTTACGGCTGATGACTTAGCGACAAGGGCGTAGCCAGGGGAATTTGGATTGGGGGGTCCTCTGAGACGAGTAACAAGGGGGTCTGGTGGTCTGAATTTTTTTTTTTATTTAAAGGCTAAAAAGTAGTGCCTGTTAAAATTCAATTGTAGACGCTGTTTTGTTTGACAATACTATTTTCTTCTGCAAGTTCTACACGAGCTCTAGCTCTCTAAACACAACACACACACACACACACACACACACACACACACACCAACACACACACCACACACAGCACACACACACACACATTAACACTCACACAACGAACGAAGCAATGAGACTCAAAAATCACACGTATTAAAGTTTACGTTCATGCCTTTCCGGTACTGGTCAACATCACCTCAGAATTTAATTTTCTGCCTCGAGTCATGGTGTCGACGTGAGCTATGTAATATGGTGTCATGGCAGCACAAACAACGCCACGTCATCAATGTGGTGCATCCGGCTTGGTTACAGACTGCGTCGCTCGAGTGTCTAATCGGGGAAAACTCATGCCACAATTTAGGCGACGGTGAGGATCGCTTAGGATGTTTCACAAAACCTATCCGCACGAGGCGGCGGTTTTGTTTCGCATATGCCAAACGTTTTGTTTCGCCAAACGGGTGCGTGTTTCGTGGGCTTGCAACTGACACATATTACAGATAGCTCACGTCGACACATGACTGAGCAGAAATTAATTCTGAGGGGTTGGTTGTTTGAATCCAGCGCGGGATGAACGTCAACTTTAATACTGTGATTTGGAGCCATTGCTTTCGTTGTGTGTGTGGTGGCTGTGTGTTTTTGTGTGGGTGTATATGGTGGCTATATGTTTCCATGCATCGAATGTTCGCGTGACGTCAGTGTACGTTCACGCGAACGAACTTGCGCGAACCTACCGCTAACCTAACCCTAACCCTAACCTAACCCTAACCCTACCGCTAACCCTACACTATACCTAAACATAACACTTACAAAATGGTTAAATGGATAAGATAGAAAATAGAAAAATAAAAATATACAACAGATGGGTTCGAACCACCACCTCAAGAAAACTGTCCGGCCGCATAGCGCGCTGCGCTATTTTGGGTTTTGCTTGTCGATGCATGTGGTTATGGATGTAGGCCTATATTCATACATGGGATGGGCGGTGCGTGATTGTTATGTGGTTGGCTAGCACTTGACGTCACACTGACGTACACTTGAGTTCACGCGAACATTCGATGGCATGGAAACCATTAGTCACCTGTGGTTATATATATGTGCATGGTTCTTTTTGTCGTCCGTATTCAGGCAACGCGCGAATTGTGTGCTCATTCATTTTTGTTATCTATAATGCAGTTGCTATTTGTTTTTGATTATTTGATTCCTATTCCAATGTCCTGCTGACCTGATGAAAAGATGTATCTGCGAACAGCTTGTCAAATTAAACTGGGGTTATAACACCCTTAGTCTATACTTTGACTTTGTTGTATATATATGTGTGTGTGTGTGTGTGTGTGTGCGCTCGTTGCGCGTGGCGCAGTGCGCGTGTGTGTATGTGTGTGTAAAATTAATGTAATTGTAATGTGATTTTTGCGATGATGCAGAGATTTGGCGATGCGCGCTTTGTGCAAAAGCGACACTGCAGCTGCAGATGATCAGGATCTTCCCAAGCAGAAACCAGGGATTCAGAATAAAGGCATTTCAAGCCCTCTAGCAAAGCATGTGCAGGGGAGTAGTGGAGGAGAAAGCAGCCTTTCTCTTCCACAAGAGAAAGTGCACAGTACTGTTGCTGGACAGCTTTGTCACTATCTGGAAGAGACCAAACATTTTGCACAGAACACGGAAAACACGCGTGCTCATATACAGGCATTAGCAAGGTAAAGTTCTGTTGCTAGGCTATGTTTCACGATCAAATTTACCCAATAAGCTGCTAGGTGTATAAATGCTTTGATATATCTTAATTCACTTGGTTTCACTTTAAAGTGAACAACACTAACAGTTTTAGCACAGTGTTATTTTCAGTATTAGTTTCTTATTTATGCTTATACAACTACACAACGTTTAGGTTCGTGTGTGAAAAGATGGGTGGACCAGTAACAAAAGAGACGCTCTCATCTCTTGGCTGTGAGCTGTATCTTATGCAATTAAAGCAAAGTTTGAATTCCAACGTGGTTCCTCTAGGATTGATTTCCATAGGGACATTCACACACAGGGCTTTGTTATTCAAGGTATTCCATATATAACATATATGTCTAAACAAACGAAAAATCATTTACTACTGCAATTGATGTAATAATCAGAAACAATATGCTTTATTTCAATTGATCCTTCACGGAATCTGGGTAATAAATGCACTTGTTTAACTGTATTTTCTTTATGTTTATGATTAGGCTTTAGTGGATAAGGCTGGCTTGCAGTGCTCTCTTGTGCGTGGGCGGTATAGTAGAGCATGGAACGAAGTATTACTGATAGATAAGGTAAAGATGAGTGCTGTTTTGGCCCAGTCAGTGCTTTGGTATGTGTGTGGTGTGTGAGTGTGCATCTTGTATAGGTTGTACAAATTGTATATATATATATATATTGTTTGAAAATTTGTAGATATTTATATACATTGTATATTGTATATTATTATATACATATACATCAAGAGTGGATAATAGAGATCTCTATTATCCACTCTTGATATACATTGTACATTATACACATAATGTATATCTTGTACACGTTGCTAATTGAACTGGTTTCTCACAGCCACTTATAAAACAGTAAACCTTAATCTAAAAGAAATGGTTTAATACTCACTCCATCCTTTTGCATCAATAGAGTGGAAGAGAAAGAGACAAAAGGAAAGAGAGAGAGAGAGAGAGAGAGAGAGAGAGAGAGAGAGAGAGAGAGAAAGGGTGAAAGAAAGGGAGAGGGAGAGGGAGAGACAGGGGGCCGGAGAGAGGGTGAGATAAAGGTAAAGAAAGTGATTGTGTCACAAAATGTATATGAGTTCAACTTCTACTACAGGGCACTGGAGATGCTGCAGGAATTATGCTCGTCTATTGCAAGGAGAAATAGTTTCGCTGAGGTAGCTCTAGAGACTCTGCTGAACAACAACTTGCCTGCAAAATACAGTTTAAAAGGTGGACGGAACTATGACAATCATAGTTTGCTTGCAAAACCGTATTCTTGTATTAACTAATGGGTTTTATTTTATGCTGCTGCATCATAGGTATGATGAATTCATGTACGTAGATGCTTTACATTGTCACTTAAACAGGATGCTTTTAACTGTACTTTTACATCACTGTCAGAAACAATCTTACATGAATTAATGAAGGGTTTATGATAATGGCCAGGCAGTGACATTAACGCTTGTAATATCTGTCACATACTTTGCTACACATTTTAGTGGCACATAATATGTTTAACTACCTTTACATCACTCTTAAAAACAATCTTACATGAATTAAAGATTTCATTATAATGGCCATGCAGTGACAATAATGCTCGTAATATCTATCTCTTTTTTGCTACATATTTTAGGAGCACTGTCGGCTACGGATGTCGTTGTGGATGGTTTCTATGACGCAGGCGCAGCAAAAGCAGGCGTAAGGTTGCTGTGCTTGGAAGAGTTGGAGAAACAGCAGGTCAGCGATCGGCTGCCCGTCGTCGTTATAAACTTTGGCAAATTGCAAGAGTAAGTACGGCGATGGACTTAGCGACAAGGGCGTAGCCAGGAATTTGGATTGGGGGGTCCTCGAGCGAGTAACAAGGGGGTCTGGTGGTCTGAATTTTTTTTTTTAGTTAAAGGTAAAAATAGTGCTTTAAAATCAATTTAGACGCTGTTTTGTTGACAATACTATTTCTTCTGCAGCTCTACAACGAAGCTCTACTACTCTCAACACACACACACACACACACACACACACACACACACACACACACACACAGCACATTTAACTACACACACCAACGAAGCGAAGCAATGGACTCAAAAATCAACCGTAATTAAACAGTGTTACGCGTCATAGCCTCTGGATCAAAACAATCAACACCTCAGAATTAATTTCCTGTCTCAGGTCACTGTGTCCCGACGTGACTATGTAATGATGTAGTCAGTGGCAGCCGACACAACCACGGCACGTCATCAATGTGGGAATCCGTTTGGTTAAAATGGTCAGCAACACGGAAAACCATGCAAATTAAGGGCGAATAGATCTTAGGTGTTCAACTGAAAACCTATCGCCAAGGCGGCGTTTTGATTTCACCAAATAGGCAAACGTTTTTGTTTGCCAAGACGTGCGTGTTTGTGGCTGCCGACTGACACCATATTACAATAGCTCAGTCGACGACATGACTGAGCAAATTAATTCTGAGGTTGGTTGTTGTAATCCAGGGGGCATGAATCGGTAAAACTTTAATTACTTGCTGATTTTGGAAGTCCTATTGCTTCGTTGTGGTGTGTGTGTGTGTTTTTGTGTGTGTGTATATGTGATCAATATAATGTTTCCAATGGCCATCGAATGTTTCGCGTGACGTCAGTGTACGTCACGCACGAACTGCGCGAGAGCCTAACGCCTAACCCTAACCTAATCCCTACACCCTAACCCTAAACTAACCCTAACCCTAACACTAGATACTTAACACTAAACTCCTACCCAAAATATTTAAATGGATAAAGATAGAAAAATAGTAAAAATAACAAAAATAATAAACGCCGATGGCGATCGAACGCCACCACACTCAAGAAAAAACGTCCGGCGCCATAAACGCGCTGCGCCATTTTGGTTTGCGTCGAAATGATGTGTTATGGGAGTTGCCCTATATCATACATGATGGGCGTGCGTGGATTGTAACTGGTGGTGGCTAGCACTGACGTCACACTGACGTACACTGGATCGTCACGCGAACTATGTCGACTCTGGGCAGGGAAACAATAGTCCACTGTGTGATATAATGTGCATGTTCTTTTTGTCGTCCGTATCATGCAACGCGCGAATTGTGTGATCTCATCTCATTCTGATTAGTCTAATGGCATGTATTGAGTTTTTGATTATTTGATTCTATCCACAGTCTGGCTGACCTGAAGAAAAGCAATCGTAATCTCCTGAAAGCTTGTCATTAATTTAAACACCCTTATTCTCTATACCTTGACTTTGTTTATATATATGTTGTGTTGTGTGTTGTGTGCTGCCGCGTCGCGTGCCGGCGATGCGCGTTGTGGTATTGTGTAAATGTATGTAATGTAAATGTGATTTTTGCAGTGATCGCAGAGCATTGGGCCGATGCCAGCTTGTGCTGTGAAAAGCGACACGCAGATGATCAGGATCTTCCCAAGGCAGAAATCCAGGATTCAGAAAAGGCATTTCAGAGCTCCTCTAGCCAAAGCATTGCAGCGGGAGTATGTGGAGGAGAAAGCATCTCGTTTCTCTTCACAAGAGAAAGCGGCACAGTAACTGTTGCTGGACGAGCTTTGTCACTATCTGGAAGAGACAAAGCTATTTGCACGAGAACACGGAAAACACGTCGTGCTCATATACCAGGCATTAGCAAGAGGTAAAAGTTCTGTTCTTAGGACTATGTTTCACGATCAAAATTTACCGCAAAAAATAAAGCTGCTAGGCTGTGATAAATGCTTGATATATCTTAATTCACTCTGGTTCGTCATACTTAAAGTGAACGAACAACTACCAACAGTTTTAAGCACGCGTGTTTTTTCAGTATTAGTATTCTGTATTTATGCTTATCGAACTACCACAAAGATTTAGGTATTCGGTGTTGAATAAGATGGGTGCATCAGTAAACAAAAGAGACGCTCTCATCTCTTTGCTGTGAGCTGTATGTATGCAATTAAAGCAATTGAAATTCAACGTGGTTTCCTCTAGGATGATTTCATAGAGGACATTCCAACGAGACACATGGGGCTTTGTTATTCCAAGTATTCCATAATAACAGTATTATTCTAAACAAAACGAAAAATCATTTGACATACTGGCAATTGTGTATAATCAAGAAACAATGATGGTTTATTTCAATTGATCCCTTACACCCGAATCTGGTTAATCAATGCACCTTGTTTAACTGTATTTTCTTTATGTTTATGATTGCGGGCTTAGTGGATAAGGCTGGCTGCAGTGTCTCTCTGTGGCGTGGGGCGGTAGTAGTAGAGCATGGAACGAAATATTACTGATAGATTGTAAGGCTAAAAGATGAGTCGCTGTTTTGGCCGAAGTCAGGCAATGCTTTAGTATGTGTGTGGTGTGGTGAGTGTGCCATGCTTGTTATAGGTTGTACGAATTGGTATATAATATATGATATACTTGTTTTGAAAATTTGTAAATATTATATAATCATTGTATATTGTATATTATATATACATAATACATCAAGAGTGGATAAAGAGATCTCTTATTAATCCGAGTCTTGATATACATGTAGCATTATAGCACATAATGATATTCTTGTAACATCAGTTGCTAATTGAAACTGTTTTCTACAGCACTATAAAACAGAACGCTCTAATCTAAAATGAAAATTGTTTAGATACTTAACGTCCATCCTTTGCATCAATAGAGTGGGTATCAAAGAGCGAAGAGTTACATTGTGGATCTCATGTACAACCCTGGTGATCTTCTAGCTGTTGACTCTCCTGAGGCTGCTGCTTATTGTCAACTATAGTCATCATTGTCAGAAACAATACTAGCTAATCTGAAACTAGTTACATGTAAGACTTGATGATATGTGCTAGTAAATAGAATGGTGGATTAATAGTGTGGAAAAGATCAGCTTGATAACCTCATCATGTTAGAACCGAAATTCAGTTATAACAGATAAATTTCACGATATTAGGGCACTGTAGTTCTGTGTGATGGTGTGACTTTATTTTGTTATGCGATTTACTATGCTCATGCATACCCTACTATGGACGTAAAATGATTATAATGATAGCTTATACACATAACTTATAGAGAAAGTTTATATGGAAGGTTCATATATTTAAGAAATTACATGTTAATTATGTCTTTTCAATAAAAAATACCCATTCCAAAAATGAAAACTATGTTTGTGATTTCTTTCCCAGACAAAACTTTTTTTGGGTATTTTGACATTTCGTCTGATATTTCCGTGAAGTAATCACGATTGTGTTTTTACAACAGCGCACTAATGGTGATATTTGATGATACAGACACGGTATAAGATCAAGATAACTGCTCAAGACTGAAAAATGAATTCATACAAGTTATATCAAGGGAGAAAAATGACAAATTGTCATATTGTAATTGTAAATTGTAATGATAATTTGTCATTATTCACCCCTGGTTATATGCGACTATATCAGGAGTGTATAATATAGATATAATCTAGGTCTATATTATTATACACTGCTGGCTGATTCTAGTCACCATTGAATTAGGCAGCCGGCTGAAAGGGGTGTTAGGATCACAGGCCACATTGGATCGTGTTTCAATATAAAACATGGATGGTTAACTACAATACTAATACTTGTCAAGTAGCTACTACTACAGTAGCCAGCAATATCTTAATGTTTGATTTGACGCTAATAACTCACTTCAACACCGTTCAAGTACACCGGCTGCAACACATAGCCGCACCGCACATTGTGCATCACAAATACAACAGTAGAGTAGGAAGAAGGTAAGAATAGCGTGATCGAGAAATTCCTAGAACGCTCACGCCTTTGTCGACAGCACTAGAGGAGAAATAACACGTCGCAAGAACGCCATGATATTGGCATCTGGTGTGTAGCTTGAGCAATGGTTCACTTGTTCGAAATATAAGCGTCTTCTGCAACGTGGGTACCAGACAAGCACTGTTACCCAGAAATTATATGAAAAATCCCTGCTTCGAATTTTCCCGAATTCGCTGCCAATCTGAAGTCACGATTATGTAAACCGGGACAAGTACAATGAGGCAATCTGGCGGCCCATTGCATCTCTGGGAGGAGTTGCATACGCAGCCTGCCGCCAAACGTCCAAAACGAGACGGCTATCGTATTTCGGGCAGCAAAAGTCGACGTTCACAACGGGCGCGAACTGTGATTGGTCAAAGGATATAATAAGAGCATTCAGGGATTTCCGGCATGTTGGTCCGGTTTACAAATCGGCATTCCATGGGACAATCTTGCGGCAAATTCGAACAGGATTTCTCATGATAATTCTGGGTAAATAGTGTGTGGTACACGTTGGCAAGACGTAACTACTATCGAACTAACGTTGACCATCTCAGCTAACACAACAGAATGCCAAATATTCATGGCGTTGGACGTTTATTTCTCCTCTATTAGGACTCGCAAAAAGTGCGAGCGTTCTGGAATTTCTGTGACCACGCTTCTATCCTTCTCCTATCGTACTGTGTATTTGTGCAATGCTACAATGGCGTGCGGGCACTATTGTTGCAGCGGTGTATTTGAACGATGTTGAAGTGAAGTTATTAGTGTGCATAATCAACAATTAAGACTATTGCTGTACTGTAGTAGTAGGCTACTGACAAGTTGTATTTATAACCATCATTTTACTTATTGAAACGGTCGCAAGTGCCTGTGTTAGGATATGTTTACTAGGCATTTCTAATTTTAACATATATTTTACGATATATTAAAGAATGATGCAAAAACCCTAAAAAGTGCCCTAACCCTAACCCTGCACCCTAATTAAATTTAAAATATATTTAAAATTAAGAAAGTGCCTAGTAAACATATCCTACCACCCCTTTCAGCCGGCTGCTTGATTTAGACGAGCATTATATTGTGCTGCCATCTTGTGTCCGTATTTTGTGTGTGCGTGGCAGTGGAATATTAGTTGGTGGTAAGTGGTTTCCTATGTGAATGAGCAACGTCTATTAAAAGTCGATTATACGATTGCAGAAAGTAAATGAGAAATATACGTACAACTATTGATTTATTTATATGTGAGACCACAGCTAGACACGAGTTTAAACAATACATATAAATGTGCTTAAATACGTAAAATAATTCCTTGTACTGAATTCACAATGAGGAAAATAAAATCGCGATGTATAATCATATCAGGCCATCATATGTTATCATTATGGCTGCAAAAATACTACATTGCAATAGATGTAGACCATGTCACCAACTGTGAACAAAAAAAACAGAAATGTTGAATGTTCCCCCGCTGATAATCAATGCTGATCACTAGCGACCTCGCTCTTGTCTCGGGCAACATTAATTCTTTCAGTCCACAAAACTGTTTCTTTCGCAACCAGGCAATAATTATGTAATTCATATATATAATCTGAGCTATTTAACAAACATTTTCTTCTACATTTCCGTTGGTGGCATTCGACGGAATAAACACAAAAGCTGTTCTCTCCTGTTTGAAAAGTAATTACAATGGAATGATAAATATATAATTTAAATGAATAAATAAATAAATAAGTTGCGGACAGTTTTCATCCGTGTACCTGTAGTCATACTGTTGCGTATTCAAATTGAGTTGTATACATTAACATCATTCTATCAAAATACTATAAGCATATTCTATTTGTATCCATAATTAGACAGCACCACCAGTCAAACTCCTCGGTACAACTTTTTCAATATTATAAATATTTTCTTAACAGTAGCGTTATCCCTCTAGCTTCAAGAAATTAAAAATCTTGGTAAAGACAAGTTATATTTTACATATGGAAAACAGTATTCTGAATGTTATTAAATATATTTGTAGTAAACGCTCAACATTTATTTAGTACACAACTTCATTTACTTTAAATATAATTCGTTGCGACTCATTTATCATAAACGAATGGTACCTTAGTCTGAGTTTCCGTAACGTATTAAACATATAAAGATCATATATTTGACCTGGGCCTAGCAAAGCGCAACTTCTAACAAGTATTTCCCCCAGTTGTGCTGCGAAGACAAAATGATTGACAGTGTCAATCGTATCGTAGTTACACAATTCCTCGTAGTTACATCAATTTACAATGGTCATCCCAAGTGCACGACATTTCGATAAATGATGTATTTCCGGGAACTACTCACCGGAAATACAACCCTCCCGGGCAGCATATGGCCCGAGTCGCTCAACTTTGCGTGAACCTCTGACTTAACCTACCACGACGTAGCAAAATAACTGTATAAACAAGGCAGAGGGCATTGATATCCTAGCACGAGTACCACACGACGATATCGACTACGATGATAAAGATACGCCTCTCCCCGAGCACCTTTTGAGTCGTCACCCTCGGTGTCTCAGTTTCCTCCGTGTGTCGTGGGCGCTCGCCTGAGAAGCCTGACCATGGAGGAAGCGACGTCGTGGTCGCCACCTTCGTCGACTTCGTCGGGACCCTCCTTTCCTTGAGCCGACAGATATTTGTTGACCACGTTGTCCCAGTTGCAAACGTCGGAGAGGTTTCTGGGTCCAACGTTTAGACGCAGGAATCCAGCTTAAAATGGAAACGCGAGAGTCAGTGGATATGCTAAAACGCAGTAACGGTGACAGTTACGCCACCGACGGAAGCATGTCTCTCTCTTCACACGATTGACACATGATCACTTTTTTTACGGCTACGACGGTGACATCATATCCAGGGTATGCTATGGTATCATATACCCCCTCACTTAACAGTGCGGCTGCCCCGATGACAGGCAAAATCTAGGTAATGTGGGTTGTACATGCCCGAGTACGGTTTCGATATATTAATTATATTAATGTAGTTTCGTTCCCACTGTAGTACGAGAAAACTATGCGATTATTCAGTACAGAAAAACAATGGTTTATGACCGTAGGGTTTCGAATAGTTGACGAACACAAAACATGTTAAGATGCAGGACATGTGAGTACGATTGCACATCACGACAATTCAGAAAAAACGCCAGTAAGGACACAAGACACCGCAAATGCTATATGCAAAGTTTAAACTAACATGCGATCTGATGTAATCTAAAATGAACCTGCTATAAGAAATAACAAGTAGTACAAACCATTTGTAAGAAATAGAAAAAAACGTTTTCACACGAAATCAATCATAGTAGTATTAATATTGTTTTATATAGGCGTTGCACGCACTCGGGCGCACATACCCACGCATGCACGCACACACACACACACACACACACACACACACACACACACACACACACACACACACACACACAC